GAGTGAGTGAGTGAGTGAGTGAGTGAGTGAGTGAGTGAGTGAGTGAGGTGTGTGTGTGTGTGAGATGTGAGAGGAGGCGAGGAGGAGGACGAGGAGGACGAGGAGGACGAGGAGTCGGGCGGGATGGCAGCCAACAAAACTAGAACCCCACACAGAGATGTGGGGAAAAACAAAAACAAAACCAAACCGTCCTCGTTTTCACCCAGCTGTTGGCGCTCATCGCAGCAAGAACGACGTCTTCCAGCGCGGCAAAACGCGTCCAACGCGCGACACGGTGGCACCTCAGGTGGCACCCCAAACATCAACCATGAGACCCGTGAGATCCTCGAATCCCCTGTCCTTCCATGTTCCTTCTCCTTTTTCTGGCGCGAAGCCTCCGAAGCGGGTTCCTTTGGAAGCCAGGGACGGCGGCTTAGCAGCTTTCCGCGCCGCCGCGAAAGCGGCGCCACTGTCTCGTGGCTTCACCCCAAGAAAAGGGCCACAAGCGGCATGAGAAGGATGCGTTTTGGGACACTGCTCCAGATCACTCACGCGTGCGATCTCGCTGGCACCGTTCGCGCTGGCACTCTCGGTGGTCACGTCAGCTGGCACCCGCCGAAGGAGTTCATCCGTCCTCACCTCAAAAAGATCCAAGGAATCGACTCGCCAGAAACCCAGCAGCAAATCGTGGATTGCACATGGACGGAATCCCTGCAGCTGCTTCCGTCAGCAGTAGCTTTTGCGTATTGGAATCCATCTACAATATTTGATATACTGCATGCTTGTATATGATCTATGATCTGATTCTGCCTGTTACTAAAACCTCTCCGGAATTCAGGGTTGCCTTTTTGGAGGGTGGGGCAATTCTGAGGACATCTGAAAACACTTCCAACATGCAGGGCTCAGAGTCAAAGGGAGTTCAGTGCACCTGATATTTTTCAGATCCACTAGGAACCCCCCAACAAACATCAATCTCTTCAGAGTCCGACGAAGCAACACACATCTTTTGGCCCCACCCATCCCCGTCGTGTCTTTTGGTGGGTACCAGGCACGTCGCATGCCAAAACGGGAACGCTCCACCCCTTCGAGCGCCCGAACAGCGGATGGGCGACTCCCGACTCCCGTCACCCCATGTTCGTCCACTCCTCAGCCCCCACTTGGCTGAGTTGAGCCTGTTGAGTGCCAAGTCGCTTCTGCTTTCGGCGATCCGCTGGTTCTTCGCCCAAAGATTGCAGGTACTCCTGCGGCGAACAAAGGATCCGCGACAGGAGAGAACGTCGTCTGATTGCTCCCAAAAGGCTCAAGCCATCCAAAGAACATACTCATTCGTGGTTCTTCTAAGTCACTAAATTCATCCCCAGCCTGGGCTGTAAAAGGTCACTTATATAACTTAATATAGGCCTTTCAAATGTCACAAAGAAAGAGACTCCAAAAAGGTCACGAACAGAGACCTCCCAAAAAGCTCGTGGTTTGGGAAGCTCTTCGTGATCAAGGACCGAACCCAAAAGGGCCGGATCGCCGATGCCTGCACCCACTGTATTGAAAGCGAGCGAGCGAGCATTGGGCCGAACCATCTGGGATCTCAAAGGAGCACTTTGAAGCAGAAGAATCCCAAAGAAGCATCTCTTTTCGAACTCGCATCATTCTCTTATTCTCTGTGCTTCTCGTCTCTGTACACGCTCCTCAAACTCGCATCCCGAGCCAATACCGACCCCAGACCGATCGCCCCCAGACCGACCGTCTGCGCCTTGAGCTCATCGGTCTTCCGCGCGGATCGGCTTTGGTATCCTCGATCAAAGAGCTGGGGACCTGAGGCGACCGACCAGCCACGTTTGGTGGCGAAGCCCGCTTAGGAACTGGGCAACCCGCCAGTGGAGTTATGCGGTGTTTTTTGGGGGGGAGTCCTTCTTGGAAGGTGTGTAATTGTCTCCAAATGCGAAAGGAATCGATCAACACACCCCTGTTTATCATCCTGCTGAGCTTAGGCATCTGCCATCATCGGACCCTTCTCAGACGATCAAACTCGTATGCGTTTCTTGGCGTGCCTTGAGCTACGAAAACCACAGCGGTTCTACATGAAAACCAGAACACTGCGGGTCCATGTGCTCTTCATATGAGGATACCCTCCACTCTTCGGCTTCAGTCACAGCCCTGTTTCCCTAGAAAGGGCAGTCTCCCAGAGTCTCCCAGTTGAAAAGTTCCAGAAGTTTGGAAAGTAGGGACAGTAGAGAAAGCCCTGACTTCCCAACTGCTCACTTCCAATTCGGAGTGATCATCGAAACCACTTCGAGCTGTTCCTCCCGCCATCTTCAGGAACACCACTGGCCTGAACACCCATGGCTCGGGACGGCTCAGCCATCAAACCTCGGATCCAAGAGGCTGATGCCCACGTTGGACTCCTTAGTTGATGGACGAATTGGATCACTGACCCAGTCATAGACTGGCTCCTACTGGGCGAGAAGCGCGGGATGCGACGCAAGCGACGCAAGAAGCTTAGGAGGTTTGTACTGCATTCTTCTGGAGGTTGTCTTATTTTGCTGTTAACTCAAATATGCTTTTATGTGAGTGCAATCATTGTCCAAATCCTCGATGGGGTGGGGTGACTAAACCCAAAACTGTACGACTACTCCCCCAAAGAATTACTTGACACAGGCCTCAGGGTTGCTTGGATTTCCAAGCAGGGATGGAATTGCAAATATCTACAGTATGCCAAACCAACACCCAAGAATACAGTTGGTCGAGAGGTTCCCCCGTTTGAACAGCTACGTACCTTTTGGAACGGCTCAATTCCGAACGTGGTTAGTTGGAAAGGGAGCTTTGTCGAAAATGTTCTTACTGTATAGATGTCTTGAAGATTTGAGGTTTCTCAGGGTACAGTCCGGTTAGAATGGCTGAATCCCACTTAGAATGGCTTAATCTCACTTAGAATGGCTTCTTCTCAGCCATTCCTTTGAAAAACAAGAACCATTCCCTCCGCATCTGCTGCCTCGCCACTAGCAACTGCAGCGGCGTCTTGCCACGCACGGCGCCTCGCCAGGCTGTGGCGTGGACATCGGCGCGCTGCTCCACCAGGCGTTTGGCCAGCTTCACCTGGGCTGAAGCCGGTGACAACAGCAGCGCGCGCGTCGTAAAGCCATCGAGTGGCAATCAGAGTGGCCTGGGGAGCGGTTGGAGAAGCCTTTGGGCCTTTGGGTAACTTGTGGTTCCGGATCCATGTGCAGCGTGCGACACGGTTTTGACACGGTCGACACGGTGACTGTGCCTCCCATGGTTTGGGGGGCAGCTGTTGGGTAGTGACCCACACTGCACATCAATCACAAGGTGTTGAACAAATGTCCAATAGCAAAAAGAACACATGTGAACACTGACCACTGTAATCCATTGAAATCCTGGAAGACAATCTTCTCAAGAGTACAGTGGTTCGAGTGTGTCATAGCTTCTGCAGATGACTCCCACACGGATCACTCCCATGAAGTGTGTCACACGTTCCGATGACTGCCATCGGGCACGGAAACCACTTCACCACTGGAGCACGGAAAGCCGGAGGCAACAGGGCACACAAGACCAAACCAAATGCTTTGACATGCAAAATATACCATCTGACTCTCTATCGAACATGAAAGTGCATGGCAATTGGCCTTTGTGAGCGTGTTCCCGCCAAGAACAGAAGAGCACCAGGACACAGGCTGATATCGAATCCATCTTCTCCTTGTTGCACAAGACTTGTGCGACCCACCAATTCTCACAGTCTTGAGTTGTTGGCGTTTGCAATTCTTCCTTTCCCAATGACTAACGTCTTCCGCAAATGGCGCACGGCCCACGTCTTCCGCCCAGTCACATCGCCATCCCACATGCAAATGCTGTGCAGCGGCGTTCGCCCGCTCGCGTCCCGCAACGTGGGGTCCGCTCGGGCCCTGGCGGCCGAGAGGACCGCCCCGATGAACCGCCTGTGAGGGGTGCCCTCCTGCATTTGGAGTGTGAAACCAACTTGGGGGGGGGTTGAAATCAAGAGTCAGATGTCAAGAGTCTACTATTCAGATAGAAGAGGCCAGTGACCTCATCAGGTGTCAACCAACGGGCCATGTCATGCCACCTTCTTGTTCTTCCCCGCATGTTCGCCTGGTCGGGCGTGGTCGCCGTTCACCGGTGCTCATTACCTATCCCCAACCAGAAAGGCTCGGAAATGATCAGAGCCGGTGAAGATCTCTCCAATCGTTACAGAGCCGGTTAAGGGGCGCAAAGCCAATCAGAGACGATCATGAATTGTTGTCTAACAGTCTGAACAGAACCAGACCTTGGTCCTTCCCACTTTTCCCCCATCTCAACAGGATGCCTCTGGAGAGGCTTCGGAGGCTGCAAAGGATAGACCCTGGAACTTGTTCACCACCTTCGTGACGGTATTTCAACCCTGCCCCCAAGCCTGGGGGGTGATTTATCAATTATCCTACATTCATTTGGACATATCTTCCCTTTCACAAGCCACCGGTGCCTCCTGCGTCCCACCCCACCTTCCGCGCCTGAAGAGCTCCTCCAGGATCGCCGATCGCCCGCTGGCGTCCTCCCATTCCGTGGCCGAGCGTGTGCGCTCCGCCAGGAAGTGCAAGGGGCTCTTCAAGCCGAACTGATGCCTTGGCTGCGGTGTAGACACGACACCGAGCACTCCAGTCGACCATTTTCATAAATGGATGGGTATTTACTGATTCCTGAGGAAGTGGGCAGGATCTGGCTCGCGACCGAATTGTGAAGGCCTCTGCAACTCGGCCTTTGAGGTCCAGCCAGGATCTGGCTCAACCCGTTTGAGAGGACATTCGGACAGCGAGTCAGCGATATAAAACATGGATGGACCAGGTGTGGTGCAAAATCTTTATTAAAACAATGGTAGTTGGAAGCCTAGGGTATTGGGTCTATTCAATTGTAAAGGCCCACAAAGATGGCTAGACCTCTATTCGGATGTCTGCAGCTATATATATTATATTATAACAAATAGATACGCAATAAACTCTACAGTACAGCCCCCCAGATTGCCAGAACTGGCGAACCAGTGCCAAGTTAACCAAGTTAGGCTAGCTTATGTATTAATCACCACGTAGGTGATAAGACCCCTATATCGGAGTCTACTCCAAACAAACATCAAGACGGAGCCCCGGCGGACCGCGGGTCTGTCATTTTTCGGACCGGTGGACCCCACGGGATCCCCGCGACGCGCAGAGAGACGCAGTTGAGGGGCAGTTGGATGTTGCAAAGGCTGGGCTCTTGCTGCAACTGTTTCGACACCTGCCGAGTTGGGGCGGGCCATACCGGGTTCCGAAAAGGGCCAACGCGTGGCACATGCGTAGGGCTTCCTCCGCGCGGGGCGTGCTCATGGGTGGGTGGAATGCAAGCTATTGCAGCTATGGACCACGACGACCACGTGGTCGCGTGTATCACGTGGTCAACGACGACCACAAATTGGAAGATGTGATTCACAGACCAGTGACTTGTTCTCTGCCAATCTCAGTGTCTGCAGCTACATGCCACATGAAAACACGCGGTTTGGTCACTTTGGTCCTTCTTCACCTGGATTCCCTGGAGAAGACTCCCTTTCGTCCACATCTATGGACTTGCTTAGCTCCATCCCGAAAGAATTCCGCTCTACCTTCAAACTCACTTGTGCAAGCTACAAAAGCAACTGGGAAACTCAGAAACTCGGGGGAGGTGTGTTTCATGTCTTCAAAACCACCGCAGGGGCACTTGAACCAGCTGGCCGCGCTTCGCGAACCAGCTTCGCTTCACCCGGCTGCGAACCGCGCCTGGTCCACTTGCCTTCGTACCAAGGCATCGTAGAAGGCCAGCTTCATCTGACAGGCAGGGAGGTCGGGAGGTCGCAAGGACCCATCGATATCTGCTGGATGGAGGTCTTTTGTTCGAGTGAATGGGCTGGATAGGGCTGGATACTATGCCATGAATCAAAGATCAAACTACTGGATCCTAGGGCTCCAAGTACCTTCTACGAAGGTGGGACTGGGGTGGGTTTAGAGGGTCCAAATACCTTCTAACAAGGTACGACTGGAGCGCTAGGGGGAAGCAAATTTAAAGGTCTGAGCCTGCGTAACATGATCTGGGATTCTGGAGTTCTGCTCGAAAACAAGGTAACCAGGTAGGCATGGATCCCTTGGTGACCCTCTCCTAGTTCCTGAATGTTCCTACAGTAACATGGATATCCACAGCCATGTGGAGGAAGTCAGCCAGGATCTGGAGGAGGGTGTAGAATGAGACATGTGGAACTCTTCCCTCCTTTCCCTACTTCGCTGCGAACCACCACGGAGGCTTCGCGCCGCCTCCCTGTCACCCCACACACGCCGCGCCGCCTTCTCCTCTTTCACCTTCTGTCGGATGGACGCATCAAAGGCATCGATGCCCACGGAGGATTCGATCTCCTGCAAGATCCTCAGAGCCCGAAGCCACGCCAGCGGAGGGCGGAGGGCGGAGTCGCATTGGTGGTTTCCATGTGGTGCTGTGATGCGAGACTATGTCACAGAGTAGTCTCATCTGTCCTTCGAGGTCCTTAGAGGGGTCCCCAGATGTGAGGGGTCCCTGATTGGTGAGTGTTTGCATAAAAAGCCACGTTGCCAGAAAGCTTAACTGTATTTCTGAATAGGTTCATCTGAGAGGGATTCGTGTGGCTGTCGCAGGTTCTTTTTTGGAAGTTGTTTCCGATGCAGAGTCCCAGCGAAAAGGAGAGAGTGTGTGTGTGTTCATCACAGAAGGTCTTCATCTGCGGGAAGAGCTTCCTAGAAGGCGCCATTCTAGGCTCTGCGCATGATGTTCTCTCAAATAGAGGGACACCTGGTCATTCGTTTTCCATCTGGTCATTGTTAGCATGTTGAAAAGAAAACGGTTGGCCCAAGTCAGGCTTCGAACTTCTTCCCGCGCCAGCCCGAACCGGCCCGATCACACGACACCTCACCTGCAGGTCCAGCACGCCTGGGTTTTTCGGAACCCCCAAACCTCCCCAGCTGGGCGGCCCGCGACCTCTCCCCATCGGCTCACCCGACCCCCACCGAGGCTGGGCTGGACCCGAGCTGCAGGTGCCGGTCCTCCAGTCGCGAGGCCTCGGCGTGCCGCACGCTGGGCAGCTCGAAGGCCCCGGTGAAGGAGATGGAGCCCTGGAACTCGGTGGGAATCGACCTCGGATGGAGACGATCCAGGATCGGGAACGCGAGGAAGTGCAAGACTTGCTTAAGTGGATTCAATGACCATTCCTGACCCCCGAAATTCCACCATACATGGAGTGTCAACTAAACTAGGTAAGAAATCCCATGTCAGGATCCCATATTTATGTCGGACGTTGCACCAACATGGACTGTTACATCCTTTGATGCAAAGCCCAAATGTGGTCTGCCAAGCGACATGGACAAGGCGGTCTGCAGCTCTTTCCTGAGAGGCAAAACAAGCGAGTCCTGTGGTCCATCATGCGGTTTCCTTTGAAAGAACGAGGATGTTGTTCTTGCAGGATCATCTCACTTGTATGCAGGATCATCTCACTTGTATGCAGGATCATCTCACTTTAACTTAGCATTTGACCTATAATACCAAGTTTTAACTTAGCATTTGGAAGATCTGCGTTGACCCATTCGTTGACCTGACCTCACCGTCGCTTGAATGCGTCCGCTCCGATCGGTCCCACCGAGCGATCCCCCGGTACCGTTCGCAGCGTGTCCTCCGCTTCGGAGCCGACGATCAAACGGTTCGCCCAGGCACAAGACCCAGATCCGTGTCAAGGTCAACAACTGTCGATCCACCGCCAGAGCATGTTCCTCGAGGAAGCGCAGAAGACGTGGAACGACCAAGAGGGGCGGTGTGTACTGTATTTTTAAGAGCCCGCGGAACCAAAACCAGCCCTGTTAGCCGATTTGCAAATCACTCAAGAGACTGAAAGTCCGTGTTTTTTCTTGTCCGTTGGCATCGTCTAGCCGTCTTCGCCATTTATATACATATAATTCCTGTGGCACCCAAGTCAGTGAGGGTGCTCAACTTCTGGCCTTTCAACAAAGCCCACAGTTGATTAACTGGTATCTTGAGTTTACTTACTGTAAGTGGATTTTATCGAGGAAAAGTTACAGTATATCCATTACCAAAATCAATGGTACCTGTTCTTGTTGGTATCTATGTCATGTCCATTAATTTTGGTTCCATTGCATGTTTAAAGAAAAATATATTGAATCTCAATCTCCAATCATTCTACAAAATGATATACAAGGTAAACATAAAATTGAAAACCCATGAATTATTACTTTACTTTGAATGCATTGTATGGTACCTGCCTCCAAAATCCATTGAACAACTCTTTAAAAGAACTGGATTGGACCAATAACAACTCCTCCCTCCCAACCGTTCGAGACAATTTGCCTTGATGTGCTGCATCATCAAGCCAAACTTGTCCATCTCACACTGAGGATGTCCGTTCAAGAACTTCTCCGCCCCGCAGTCGCAGGGATTTTGAGGCCTGACTCAAAAGGCACTTGCGGTCGGAGTGCCCTCCTGCACCCAGAGGGGCGGTCGCAATGTGTACCAAAGCATCAATTTTGACATTTGGTACATGGGGCAGGGTAGTGGTATTCGTACCTCTCCTGAAAAAAAAGAGAGCTGAAAAAAAAACATGATCATGGTTACATGATATTACATGGATCGTCACTCCTGAAGTTTTGTCCCACACCATCAAAACGCTGCCCGGCCCAATGTCCATGCACATTCATGCGTTTCTTTGAAATACATCCACCAGCTGCTAATGGTCAATTGGTAACAAATCTGATCAATGAAACAGCAGAAAGGGGCCACTCTCTCAACAGCAGCGTCCTCCCCACCAGTTCGTCACGAGGTCTCAATGAGCGAAGGTGACTCTTCAGCCGAGCATCGTCCCACAAATGGAGACGTGCTGGTTCACACCTGTCGGCCGCGCGGCGTGAAACACCACCACACGGAGGTTGGGTGCGTGGTGCGCGTGAGAGGTCCCAGTTTCCGGTGCGTTTTCGGGCGCGTGGTGCACAGAGCCGATGGTGGGTCATGAAACCAAGCACATGTTCCTGGCCGAACACCGACATTGAGTGCTCATGGATGTGCGTGGATGTCATCCAATGCGCCCCCCAGTTAGCTGCCCAAAAAGTTTCATAGATATGAGAGTTCATCTTGGGTTGTGGCCACAGCTCTCCCAACAACTTGCCAGCTTCCCAACCATGTAGCCATGACACCAAACCAACCAGTTCGCTGATTCTTCAGATCCGTTCGACCGAACATCCTGCAGATCTCTCCGCGGACGGCAGGTCGCCGTCAAGAGCCCTTTTGGGTGAGTCCCAGGCACCAAAGATGCAAAGCCAGTAGGATTTCTCCAGCTCCTGGTTGAGTCCAGGCTCCGAGGAGAGGCATGTTCTGGTCGTGTTTCTCGGTGCAGCAGCGAGTCTTTGTTCAGTAAAAAACACACCAAGCCACCCCTTTCGTCTGTCTGTGTACGTCCAGGTCATTGAGTTGAAGACTCCAATGCTGGTTTCTGAAAGTGAGCCCAGTCAAGTCACGTCACGGGGGGGAGATCGAAGGCACCCATGACCAGAGACTTCATGAACTTCTCACCTACCTCCAAGATGTGGTTGTGGAGTTGAAACCAGCTGCTCCGTGGACGTGTGGCCTCCTAGCATAAAGAGACTATTTTTTCGAAGACTGATACCGGGTTCAGGGCCAGATCTTGTGTTGAATGGCAGCACTTCTACAAAAGCGTGAGAGATAGCAAGCATCAGTGGTCTTGAACATCGTCTTTGTCATCAGGACCCAATTGAAAACAGTTGCCTTTCCTGGCCTCTTGTACTGATGCACTACACTGCCCAGCACGACTGTGGGCGTCTGTCCCTCCACCCCTGGCCTCCTCACTCAGAACGTTCTCCGCGGGAAGAATTTGCCCCGAGGCATGGCCTAAGATCGCCTCCACCAACGCCATGAAGGAGTGGCCCCACCAATGCGACCTGGCAGCGATGGGAGGAGAAGGATCTCCAGCATGTGGTGGGCCCAACGGAATGGGGACTAAAAACATCTAACAAACCCACGAAGAGATGGAGCTGCTGCAGTACTTTGACGTCTTTAAAGCTGAAAGAAGCGTGACATCTGCGAAAGAACTAAAGAACTCGTCCTTTTTCATCCAAGAGGCATTAAACAGGTGGGCTCCTTTGCTCCTCCCTCGAAGAGATCCACCATGGCCTTACAGGATCTGCAAAAAGAAACACACACCGACCGTGTGGGCGTAATACCGCTGACCCCTTTTTGGATCCCTTCAAAAATCTTTGTGGGTGTTGAACTGTTGGTGTTTCCGTGTTTGGAGGGGTCTGGCACGAGGGGAATGGTGGTGCCTTCACCAAAAGGCCGGCCCTCCTGCAGGCCCAGACTCTGGGAACCTCAAACCCAACACAACCCCTTGCAATCCTCCCGAGATCGTTGGGAGGACGGCCACCATCTCACAAGGTCCGAGTAGCACATTGCCGTTCTCGTGTTTCAGGGATCACAATGTCTCGTACCACCTGCGTGGCTGGTGCCGAGTCGACAAACACCTGCAAGCAGCGGCATACATGGGTTCAGAATACACTTCAGAGATCTTCAGAGTAGATGGCACAAAGTCAATCTTATGGCGAATAATGGTGAATAGAAAGGAGGAGAGAAAGAGAGAGAGAGAGAGAGAGAGAGCGCAGATTGGCTGTTGTTGTGCCATGGACTGAAATCGATGGCACACCCCAACTGGGCTACTAACTGGGAAATGAAAACCATGGGTGTCAGTATTGTGCTGAACCATGCTGAACCTACTGTGAAGGAGTCGAATCTGAATTGTGCTGTTCAATCAGTTCTCTTGGCCTTCCTTCTCTTGCCTTGTCTTCGATCTTCGATCGTTTTTGAAGCAAGGTCTTAGAGGGAGGAACAAGACTTCACAACCCAAAATCTCAAAATCTCAAATATAAGGGATCTCTTTACATCTGATTTGCCCTACCTATCAGGCCCTATCAGGCCCTACCTATCCTTCACTGCTACCCTCGATCCCTCTATACCAAGCACCCGCGCCTCGGCCGTGGTCATCTGGGCCAAGCCACGCGAGCGGTACCTGGGCCGAGCTGGGCAACGACCGGTGGAGGCGGACCCGGATCACGTGAAGGACGATCACGAACAGGTGCATGGAAGGAATGTGCCTGGTTCAAGGATCGGTGTTGATGAAATCTGATGGCACCTGGTGGCACATGTTGGGAGCCCACGAATTGCACCAGCTGGAGCAGGATCGCTCCTGTGTACCTATATGGTCCCAGTAGACCTAGACCTGGCTGTCAGGAAGTTAGACTGGGCGGTCTTCGCTCACCCTCTGATCCTGTTCAGAACCGATGGCGGATGATCTTGTACACCAAATCTCGCCATGCTCGCCCCCAAAAGAAGCAGAGACACCCGGGACCATCACTGTGTAGATGTGTGTCTAGATTACCCTGGTGGGGTTGGGGACACATGTTCTAGTGAAATTACACCCAGGGATCCCAGAACCCTTTTTCACGGTCTCAAAACGACCCTTTTGACGGAGGGAGACGAAGGGATTAGGCCCTGACCGCGGCCGCCTCACGTCTGAGAGACATGGACTCCATGTCTGGCACAGAACTCATGAGACCTGCTGGTCTTACGCATGACCACAGAACTCATGATACTGATATACTTAATTATATAGTAGCCTATGTTTACTATGTTTTCTAAACTGAGCACCCGTGAGCACCCGAACGAATTGCAAAAAAAAAATGCGGAATGATCCATCACGATCCACATGCACGATCCACATCACTCCGATTTGGGGACACCCGCGGCCTCTTTCGGCACACCGAGACCCTCCGTGTCTTCGGTCTTCCGACGGCGTCTGAATCGGACGAAGTCCAGGCGCTTCTTCACAAACCTCAGCTGAGCTGAAAGGGACAGTTGTTACGACGGGGCACTTCAGGTGTCCCGGTGGGCCTTGGAAAACAACAGAGACGGGCTTACCCGGTGGGTGGAAAACGACAGACTCCCGGTGTTTTGGGGGGAGGTTTTGGACGTGGCGTACCCGGCGATCCTGGGGCTCGCAACGGTTTCAAGGCTGAGCTGAGCTGCTGATCCGTTGATCCAAGCAAGGACCAAAGGTCTCTACATCACTCTTCAGTATCAATGGAAAGGACTTGGCCCCTACGCAGCAGTAGCTGAACCTTTCAAAAACAGTGACATCCTGGCTTCGGAAACAGGCAGCTTGGGCCTGACAGCGAGAATATGCTTTAGCCGAACCCATCAACCCGTTGCCCAACGTCTGACACTGACTTCTGGACATTGTCAACATCAATTCGCCACCAGCCCCCGCCCAAACAGCAAAGACAACAGATTCCAAACAGCCTGCATTCTAATTACCCAACCCCCTTCAGCAATCGGCTCATCATCTTCAGCCTTCAGCTCACCTCTTTTCACATCTTCAACCAAGCATCTCCTTCCACTACACTCCAAGCTTCAGCGATCCAGCACGCGCCACCCACGGTTCCCCTCACGAAAAAAACCCAGCGACGACTTCCCGCTCCTCTTGATTTCCCGCCCTCGTCCACCCAATCCAAGAGGCTGGATCAGTTGCCGCACGCTGAAGCCCCGTTGGTACAACGCCCGCGCCGTGCTCCGTGGGGACCGGACCCGCGGGACCGAGCGAACGGACGGGACCGAACGCTCGAAGAGCCAGTGGACGAAGGGGACCACGTCGATCTCCTCAGAGCGGTGAGGAGGTCGACTGGTTGAGGGGCTGGTTGAGGGCTGGATGAGGGTCTGGTGTATTGGCATCAGGGTGCTGGAAGACAGGTGTTCTTGAGGTCAGGGTGCTGAAAAAAGGAACCAGTAAAAAGGAACCATTCAAGAGAGAGAGAGAGAGAGTTTGACAAGCAAAAGACTAAGAGTATACGCATTATACTGTGTGTGTGTGCATGTATGAGTGTCTGTGTTTGTGTGTGTGTGTCATGCTTTCATTTGGTTGAGACTGTGTGGTGGGGGACTAGATCATCCAGATCTGACATCCATGCTAGGCGCCCGCGTTTTGATGGTCCTTTGACCTGATGCTTGGGGGGTCGACGAACCCCTGCGCTGCACGGATCGCGCAAACCACAAGAACTGCACCAGTTCGGTTCACGGCTCTGCATGTTCACGAGCTTACCAACCATTTCGATGTTGTCAAGTCGAAGATGATCTCCAGGGGTCACAAGACAGGGTGGTTTGGTTCGTCCCATCCAGGGGCTGTGGATGTGACAGGGGCACCCAACTCCTACCTCCATGGATCGCACCCCTTACCGAACGTGACTGCTGGTGACCTTCAGTCATGTTGCTTCAAGCAAAGGGCCCGACCGATGTGTGAGCCAGCCTGAGCCAGCCTTCACCTTCGCCTTCGTTGGCTTCACGCCGAAGAACACCGGAAGAACCGACGAAGAAGCGTGCGCGAACCCCGAAGCCCGAACCCCGAGACCACCTCGCCGCCGACCCGGGGCGGAAACCGGATCCTGGATTATCCAGTGATACACTATGTAGGACGTAGGAGAAAAAAACAAATAATACTTATTAAGAAGTTGCGAGAGATTATCATAGACTATTCATCCCAACCTGTGGGATGAAAACTTTCTGTCAAATGCTGGGACATGGAAACATTGGATGGATCTGCCTTGATCCGAGCAGCACGAGCGTCGGTTCCCGCAAAGGCCGACAACCTCAGAGGCCAACCCGCCGGTGTTCCTTGTTTCTTCCGTCGCACACTGATCAATCTGGGAATGGAGACGAGACTCGTCGGCGCTCTTACACTCGGCCAAAGAACGTCAATGGGCGTAGGAAAATCAAACGGAAAAAGGAAAAACAAAACGATGCACACAAAAAATACTTAAAAGGATGTAAAAGGTATATATCCCCGTCCTTCTCAGTTACCGTAAGTGTGGATACCATTTGGGAAACCGTTCAGGTGGAACCTCCCGCCTGAACGAGCCGTTCGATGGGAGGAGCCGAGTCTTTGTTCTTTTGGGGGAGGGTGTTCCAATGGTAATGAGCTTGACTATGTCAAGCCATTGGCCATGTCAAGCTACAATATAGAAAAGGGAAGAAGACAAAAACATTGGACGTTTTGTTGCTTCTATCAAAGCACTTAGAGTCGACTTAATTTTGTGATTTCAAAATCCGTTCAGGTCGACTATGGAGTGTACCAAATTCCAGGTCAACGGTTGAGATTCACCAGAATCTTCAACCACCATGAGCGACCCTTGACAGAAGATGTGATAGGCCCACTCGGCAAACATGGTCAAGAAACCCAAGCAATCCAAGGCGCACAATCAATGCTGAAATGCATTTACAAATCATGAATGCACGCTGCACGCTTTGATTCTTCTTGAATCAACTGCATTCGAGCCACAGTTCGGCCACCATGCCCTCCTGGAAGTCGCCAATCGTTGACAGCAGCTGCTCCAGATCTCCCCGCGCCGCGCGCGCATCGACGTTGAGACGCCGGAAGAGGTCGAGGATTGCAGCGGCCATTCTTCGAGCATCGCGAAGAGTGGAGTGGAACAGGTCAAAGGAGCCGTGAAAGCGCGGATACACCAAAACGGATTCCAACCATGAATTAAAATAAGGAAAAAGGTCGAAGAACCCTTGTTTTGCTAAGGATTTTACACTCAAAACCAGGTCTTCTCGAGATGGTGTTCATTGGCCTTTCTTCTTCAACAGCGGAAAGGTGAGGATTTGGGACAGCCCCAACTGTGATCGATGGCTTGTCGAACGGCTGTCTGGCCGGCAAGTAGATCACAATGAACAGTGGGCTCATGATGGCTCATGGGGTTTTTATTTGTTTCTTATTTGCTTTCTTTGGTGATCAAGTGCTAGGCTCTAAATTAGTTTGGGGTATTGGAGAAATCGCCAGCCTTTCAGAAAACCAGTCTTCGACTACCAGCACCACCCAGTTCGGGTGGTATAACTGGTAGTGCTGACCCCAATAACCCGTTTTTTTACATTGGGTGGTGCCGATCAATACGTCGCTTTTTTAAGGCAAACCAAATCGGTGACTTCACATGACTTCACTATAAGTGCCGAACAACGCAACCGTTGACCCCGCCCGTTGTCCCAGCTTTCGGACTCCGAAGGGAGTGTCCCACGGATTCGATTTTTTGCGCGTCACCTGAGAAGATTGCTGTTTTCGTTTTGCCGGT